GTCCATCACTGGAAGCGTTTTGTGATGGATTCCCCATCCTGATGCTTTTACTGACCTTTTAAAAATAAGAGGGAATTGGAAAATGAAGGAGCAGTGACCCAAATCTGCTGGGATTCTGTGTTGACTAGAAATATATCTTTATTTGATAGGAATATATCTTCGTTTAATAGAAATATATCTTTATTTAATAGAAATATATATTTATTTGATAGGAATATATCTTTATTTGATAGAAATATATCTTTATTTGATAGAAATATATCTTCATTTAATAGAAATATATCTTTATTTGATAGAAATATATCTTCATTTAATAGAAATATATCTTTATTTGATAGAAATATGTATTTATTTGATAGAAATGTCTATTTAATAGAAATATATCTTTAATAGAAGTACATCTTTATTTGATAGAAATATATCTTTATTTAATAGAAATATATCTGTGTTTTGTACATGTGGCTGTTGGATTCTGTTGGATTCTGCACCATCCCAAACTTTCCCAAATTTACCAAAAGCAGCAGGAATTTCGGTGCCATCTCAGCCTAACTCTGCCCAACCCATGAAAAGAATGATTTCCCTTTTAATTCTCCAAAGAAATCCAGGATTTGTGGGAGTGGGAGGCAGCACAAACCCCGAGTGTCCCGATGAAGCTCCTGACACAGAGTTGGTTTTTTTGTGGATTCAGGATCAGGATGGAATATTTCATGTCTGGTTTTGATCTCAGAAATGTCTTCTCCTCCTCCTCMGTTTGTTCTTAATTAGATTTCTTTGCAGTTTTATGCTTTGTGGGGATTGTTTCGTCTGCTCACCGACTTCTGCCCTTTAAGAAAGACAGGATTACTTTCCARAGGATGTTGTTTTCCTGGGATTTTTTTCGTTTATAATTAGCCCTGAATTTTAAAAAACCTCAGCCCTTTCTCTCCTTATTTTCTACATCWGATCCTCCAAAAATTTGCGAGTGTTTCATCATTTCAGTCACAATCTCTGTGTTTGTACCAAATCAAATCTTTCTTCTCCTTTGCATTTCCAAACTTTTTTTTTCCTTTGCATTTCCATATTTTTTTTCTTTAAGAACCACAGAAAGATTTATTTCAGAACTTGTTGTAAAGATTTATTTCAGAACTTGTTGTGTTGCTTTTTGTATTTTTATAGGAGCTCCCCAAAGCTCTGCCTGTGTTTCTCCCAGCTCAGCACAATGCACCTGTTGGCTTTTAAAATTTTTCCAATTTTTGCCTTTTCCCTGAGCTTTTCCTTGATCAGATTGGAATGTTGATCCTTGATTTCCCCTTTTTTCCCCTGGCTCTCCCTGAATTCTCTTCACAGGCCTTTTTTTTCTGTAGAAATCCCCCAAACTCCTGTGATTTATTAAATCACTGAATTATTTTTAAGTCTCTGGTGTGTTTTTTCGTGGAAAGCTTTGTTTAGGAAGTGAAGTCCCCCTCAAAAAAAGCAAACTTTGGATCTTTTTTTGTTTAAAAACAAAGGCACCTTTTCCTTTGAGACACCATCCATGAAAAGAGCACTGAAAACACACCCAGCCTGTGTTAAATCATCTCAATCCTGTACTTTATTCTTTTTTTATGGACATCCTTCTTCCAAATTCCTGTTTTTTTGTCCAAGTGCTGACTGATATTCCTGAATGGATTTTTTTTCTGTGCTCTCCTGGGGCTCGTGGATGCTCTGCAGTGTAAAAATCAGCATTTGATGCAGCTTTTGAGAGGAAATGATCAAAAAAAATTCAAATCCCTTCTCGAATGGGATCATTTATGGGGAGGGAACAGGGTCAGCACCCTGCACCCCTCTGCTCTTGGGTTTTTCTCTCTCTGCTCCGGGTAAATCCCATTTTTAATGCCACTGCAACATTTTTCTCCCGTGTGTTCTCCCCTTTAATCCAAATCCTTCCTACAAAAAAAAAAATAAATCAGAGCATTGAAAACTAAATTTTAATTTAAAAAAATGATGCCATTAGAGCTCCCAGTTCTCCACATTTCATGGTTTGAGGACTTTGGGCTCATTTGGGATGCAGAGGAAGCTCAGTTTGTGCAAAGCTGGAATTTTGTGGCTCTGGGCTGCAGGAGCAGCCCATATCCTGTGCTTTAAATTCCATATAGAACAGCTTAGGCAGGTCCTTCACGGGATTAGGAGCTCAGCTGAGAGGAGGATGGAAAAGCCAGGAAGTGGAAAAGATGGTTTGACTTTGAG